GCAAGATATAGATACTGGCAAAGAATTCTTGGAAAAGACCATGGAAGCACAGGCAGTCAAAGCCAAAATTGACATTTGGGATTGCATGAAATTGAGAAGTTTCTGTACTAAAAAGGAAACAGTCAGGAAAGTGAAGAGGCAACTGACACAATGGGAAAAATATTTGCAAACTATGCAACTGATAAATGGTTAATAACCAGAATTTACAAAGAGATCAAGAATCTCCACAAAAACAAAACAAACAAACCACTCAAGAGATGGGCCAAGGACCTCAATAGACATTTTTCAAAAGAGGAAATCCAAATGGCCAACACACATGAAAAAATGTTCAGGATCACTAGCCATCAGAGAAATGCAAATCAAAACCACAATGAGGTTTCACCTCACCCCGGTTAGAATGGCTCACATTCAGAAATCTACCAACAATAGATGCTGGTGAGGATGTGGGGGAAAAGGGACACTAACCCACTGTTGGTGGGAATGCAAACTGGAAAAGCCACTATGGAAGTCAGTCTGGAGATTCCTCAGAAACCTGAAGATAACCCTACCATACAACCCAGCCATCCCACTCCTTGGAATTTACCCAGAGGAATTTAAATTGGCAAACAAAAAAGCGGTCTGCACCCTAATGTTTATTGCAGCTCAATTCACAATAGCTAAGACCTGGAACCTACCCAAATGCCCATCAATGGTAGACTGGATAAAGAAATTATGGGACATGTACTCTATAGAATACTATACAGCAGTCAAAAACAATGAAATCCAGTCATTTGCAACAAAATGGAGGAATCTGGCAAACATCATGCTGAGTGAAATAAGACAGTCCCAAAGGTACAAATATCATATGTTCTCCCTGATCAGTTACAACTAACCAAGCATCAAAAAGGAAACCTGCTGAAGTGAAATGGACACTAAGAGAAACAGTGACTTCTATGAGAAACAGTGACTTGATCAGCCCTTGTCCTGACTGTTGATGTACAATGTAACACTTTATCCCTTTTAGTATTTTTTGTCTAGTACTATTGGTTTAACTCTGTAATTAACACACAATTATTCTTAGGTGTTCAAATTTTAACTGAAAAGTGATCCCTGTTAAATATAAGAGTGGGAATAAGAGAGGGAGGAGATGTACAATTTGAGACATGCACAATTGGACTTGCCCCAAATGGTGGAGTTAGAAACGTGCCAGGGAATTCCAATACAATCCCATCAAGATTGCATATACCAATGCCATCTTACTAGTCCAAGTGATCAATTTCAGTTCACAATTTATCACACTGATAGGTCTAAGAGTCAAAGGGATCACACAAACAAGACTAGTGTCTGCCAATACTAACTGATAGAATATGAAAGGGAGAGAACGATCCAACATGGGAACTGGGATACACAGCAGACTCATAGAATGGCAGATGTCCTAAATAGCACTCTGGCCTCAGAATCAGCCCTTAAGGCATTCGGATATGGCTGAAGAGACCATGAGAGTATTTTAGGCATGGAAAGCCAAGACACTCTGGCAAAAAAAAAGAGACCTAAATGAAAGATCTCTGCGAGTGAGATCCCAGTGGAAAGAACAGGGCCATCAAAGAAGGAGGTACCTTTCTCTGAAGGGAGGAGAGAACTTCCACTTTGACTACGACCCTGTTGGAATAAGATTGAAGTCAGCGAACTCAAAAGGCTTCCATAGCCTTGGCAACTCATGACTAGAGCCTAGGGAGATTACTGACGCCATAAACAAGGGTGTCAAATTGTTAAGTCAACAACAGGAGTCACTGTGTACTTACTTCTCATATGGGATCTGTCCTTCATGTGTTGTCCAATGTGAAGTAATGCTATAACTAGTACTGAAACAGTATTTTTACACTTTGTGTTTCTGTGTGGGTGCAAACTGATGAAATCTTTACTTAATATATACTGAATCGATCTTCTGTAAATAAAGGTAATTGTAGATGAATATTGATGTGAATGGAATGGAAGAGGGAGCAGGAGATGGGAGGGGTGCAAGTGGGAGGGAAATTATGGGAGGGGAAGCCATTGTAATCCATATACTGTACTTTGGAAATTTATATTTACTAAATAAAAAAGAAAAAGAAAAAAAAAGAGAAACAATGACTTTATCTGCCCTTGTCCTGACTGTTGATGTACAGCTTAATACTTATCCCTTGTAGTATTTTTTTGTTCTTCTTAATACTATTGGTTGAACTCTTTAATTAACACATAATTATTCTTAGGTGTTTAAATTTAACTGAAAAGTGATCTCTGTTAAATATAAGAGTGAAAATAAGAGAGGGAGGAGATATACAATTTGGGACATGCTCAGGCTGACTTGCCCCAAGTGATAGAGTTAGAAATGTGCCAGGAGATTCCAATTCAATCCCATCAAGGTGACGTGGACCTATCGCCCTAGTCCAAGTGATCAATTTCAGTTCACAATTGATCATACTGATAGGTCTAAGAGTCAAAGGGATCACACAAACAAGACTAGTGTCTGCCAATACTAACTGATAGAATCAAAAAGGGAGAGAACGATCCAACATGGGAAGCAGGATACACAGCAGACTCATAGAATGGCAGATGTCCTAAATAGCACTCTGGCCTCAGAATCAGCCCTTAAGGCATTCGGATATGGCTGAAGAGACCATGAGAGTATTTTAGGCATGGAAAGCCAAGACACTCTGGCAAAAAAAAAGAGACCTAAATGAAAGATCTCTGCGAGTGAGATCCCAGTGGAAAGAACGGGGCCATCAAAGAAGGAGGTACCTTTCTCTGAAGGTGAGTGAACTTCCACTTTGACTATGACCTTGTCAAATAGGATCGATGTCCGCAAACACAAAAGGCTTCCATAGCCTTGGCAACTCATGACAAGAGCCTAGGGAGATTTCTGATGCTATAAACAAGAGTGTCAAATTGTTAAGTCAACAACAGGAGTCACTGTGCACTCACTCTCCATGTAGGATCTCTGTCCTTAATGTGTTGTCCAATGTGAATTAATGCTATATCTAGTACTGAAACAGTATTTTACACTTTATGGTCTGTGGGTGCAAACTGTTGAAATCTTTACTTAATATATACTAAATTGATCTTCTGTATATAAAGATAATTGAAAATGAATCTTGATGTGAATGGAATGGGAGAGGGAGTGGTAGTTGGGAGGGTTGTGGGTGGGAGGGAAGTTATGGGAGGGGAAAAGCCATTGTAATCCATAAGCTATACTTTGGAAATTTATATTTACTAAATAAAAGTGAAAAAAAGAAAAAGTAAAAAATGCATACTATAACAAAAGTATGAATTTAAGATTTTTTGCAACAAATAATCTTACCTCTTAATTCCATTTTCCTGAATGTTTTGGAGTACTCCTGAAACTACTATGGAAAATACTGTCTAAATGAAGGCACAAGCTTAGAGAAACATCTCACATGAGTAGGAAAGAGAAGGTAAAAGGTGAGCAGAGACAGTAAAAAGTAGAAGGAGTTCAGAAAAAAGAGAATTCATAGGAATGGTGGGGGGTCACAGCTCTTACCCAGAGAATGCAGGAACAGCTGGTATGGGCAAGATGCTGCTTCCTCACTCCCCTCCTCACACAGGGCACCAAAATGTTAGGAAAAGAGTCGCAGTATAGAGAGGAGGCAGTGTACAAATTTACAGCCACACCAAATTTATTTAGAGAAAATAAATCCGTAGAGGTGGGTTGTGGTGGAATGGGAAGGTGAGAAGGTCATGAGAAGGTGAGAAGGTCATGCCAAGATGGCCACTGGCAACAGAAACTGCCTGCCAACAGGCCATGATTGGATGGCTTCAGAAACCACATGACAACAGAGCCTGACTGACAACAGGCCATGATTGGATGGTTTTGGAAAGTGCACAACAGAGTCTGACTGACATCAGGTCGTAATTGGATGGCTTCGGGAACCACATGACAACAGAGCCTGACTGGCAACAGGCTGTGATTGGATGGCTTTGGAAACCGCCTGGCAACAGGCTGTGATCGGTTAGGGCATAGATCACCCCTTGACCGGATTGGCTGCCTTGGCTATATAAGCAGCTGTAGCAACTGAAATCAGTGAGTCTGCGGGCTGCTTGCCTCAGGCCTGCTTTCACCCGACTCCCAGGGTCTGTGTGGTGACTCCGTACCTCCTGCCCCCACCATGTTCCTCTTCTCAGGAATGAATCCACAGCAATAGTGGGTGACCAACTGCCTGCGTGTACATGATGGAGCATGTGGCAGAAGGCCCCAACCCCCAGGGGCCGGGCCTTTTTAAGGAGGGCTAGGGCTGAGGGTGGGGGTAGGGGACAGCAGGAAGGGGAATTCCAGGAACTGGGCGACTCCTTGGGAACCTGGAAAAGAATGCAGGATGGGATACGAAGGCAATAGTGTGTGAGACCCAATTGAGTTTCAAGGGCAAGGAATACATTCCAGAGTTTATCTCTTTGGGGCAATGAGGGAGAATGGCTGAGCCTTATGTCCTTGTTCCATCAGGTAATATGGACGTTTTCTATTTTTTGTGTCATCTTCCATTTCTTTCTTTAATGTTTGGTAATTTTCCTAATAGAGATCTTTGACTTTCTTGGTTAAATTTATTCCAAGGCATTGATTTTTTTTCAAATAAGTTTCAGGGGTGAATTTACCGGGAGCCAAATGCCTTTGGCAGAAAAGGAGATTGTCCTATATTTTGATATCTTGAATTTAGCTCAAGATTATTTTCTCTCACTCCTTAAATCAAAATTCACAACTGTGATACTAAAGAACTTACAATCAGTATTTTCCGAGGAAATTTTCAAAAGAACTTCACTTTTGATTCTCTCAAATTATATATTCTGGAAGCTACTGTATATCTTGCAGATTTATTTTGTTTTGTTTACAGAGGATGTGGATATCAAAGTCCAATGCTAGCTTTTGGCACTGTTGACATCATGGATTTTCACAAAGTTGAAATTTAAACAGATTTGTGTGCAGTTGTAATGATCCAATGAAAATATCTCTTTTTGACTTGAATTCAGAAAACCACCTAACTCAGCCCCAAATAATGTGCAGAATCACTCCCACAACCCTGCTGTGTGATCAACGCTGTCTAGAGTCACCTGATACAAGGAAACTATCTCTTTGATTTTTTTTTTGCATAGAGACATTGTGCCAGTTCTCAGGGATCACCCATTCAGTCCCAATGGCCTTTCAGGATCTCCTAGATCAAATTGGTGGCCAGGGGAGATTCCAGATCCTTCAGACAGCTTTCTTTGTAATCTTAACCATTGTAACTTATCCTCAGTTTCAGTTGGAGAACTTCACTGCAGCCATCCCTGGGCATCGCTGCTGGGTCCCTCTCCTGGACAACCACACTATCTCTGACAATGACACTGGACTCCTCAACAAAGATGCCCTTCTAAGAGTCTTCATCCCACTGGACGCGAACCTGAGGCCAGAGAAGTGCCGTCGCTTCATCCGTCCCCAGTGGCAGCTCCTTCATCTGAACGGGACCTTCCCCAATATAAGTGAGTCAGACACAGAGCCCTGTGTGGATGGCTGGGTGTACGATCAGAGCTCCTTCCACTCCACCATCGTGACTAAAGTAAGAGACCCTATTTTTCTCTGATGTGTACAAGACCTGGGTGTTTAGAAAGTCATGAATATGCTTCAAGCCTTTAATAACCCATGTAGGTGCTTATTTTTCATTTGTTCAGCCACTAATTGCTTCTCTATTAAGTGTCAGAGAACTACATGTTTAATGAGTCTACTGAAGTCAAAAATAGAAATGTCCCTGCTATCAGGTGCTTTCTGTCACAATTTAAATAATGCATATATTTTGTTTTAAATGGTATGCTAAGTCAGTAAAGCTCAGCCTTGATCTCAAATGAGAACTGTCCTGGGAGACTGATCAAACTCTCAGTGCTCAAACCAATAGCCCTAGAACAGTCATATACGGAGGTCTATAGTGATGTTATCTAAAACCCAGTAAGTTCTTAAACATCCTCAAATGGTTACACTGTGTGGCCAGGTTTGAGAGCTAGTTTGTGTGAAGTAAAAGGGATCATTCATATAACTTTCAGCATTGGGCAGGATTCTTAGAGAAAATTACATTTGAAGTGTAACTGAATGGCAAAATTCAGGTAATATGGGAAAGGGAAGCTAAAGAAGAAGACAGATACCTGACATACTAAACTTGCAGTCTAGTTAAGGGATTTTGATCAGGTTACAATGAGGGATTATAAATTCTGCTATGCTGGTTCCTTCTCTTCTAGTGGGACCTGGTATGCACATCTCAATCACTGAATTCAGTGATTAGATTCATAGTCATGACTGGAATGCTAGTGGGAGGCATCCTATGTGGCCATTTAACAGACAGGTGAGTGTCTGTTTCACAACTGTCTTCATTAGTATGTATTTTCATCAGTTTATGAGTCATTCATTTCTTATGAAATTTTTTTGCAAATTACCCTGTCTTGGGGATGACTTAGTCTCCAGGCACCTATAAACACAACTGGAAAATTGCAATCAATGCGCTAAGGGCTGTTTTCAAAACTTTGTGTTCTGAGTACAGTGTAAGACATGAAAAGGACATCTCCATAAGACACAGTGGTATTTCAGGAGAGGGTTTAGAAAGAAGGTGCCAGAACATGTAGCTTAGATCGATGATTAAGAGTTAACTATGGAGCCGGCGCCGCGGCTCACTAGGCTAATCCTCCGCCTTGTGGCGCCGGCACACCGGGTTCTAGTCCCGGTCGGGGCGCCGGATTCTGTCCCGGTTGCCCCTCTTCCAGGCCAGCTCTCTGCTGTGGCCAGGGAGTGCAGTGGAGGATGGCCCAGGTGCTTGGGCCCTGCACCCCATGGGAGACCAGGAGAAGCACCTGGCTCCTGCCATCGGATCAGCGCAGTGCACCGGCCGCGGCGGCCATTGGAGGGTGAACCAACGGCAAAGGAAGCCCTTTCTCTCTGTCTCTCTCTCTCTCACTGTCCACTCTGCCTGTCAAAAAAAAAAAAAGAGTTAACTATGGAAACAGAAGAGGGTGATGTTGCAATACTTGGCATTCAACCTAACTGAAGACATAGATATGGAAAATAATGTTGTCAGCACTGACCAGAGCTACTGCATTCTGTCCTTCCTGGACACCAGGCACAGACTTCATGTCTTGGTTGCCCAAGTCTGTCGGGTAGGCATTGCTATGACACTCATGTGTCATTGGTGGAGTGTTAACAATTTTTGCCACCATTCTTAATTTTTTTAAAAGATAGCCTTTCTAACATTAAATTGTTTAAAAAGATGTATTTATTTATTTTGAAAGTCGGAGTTACAGAGAGAGGGAGAGAGAGATTTTCAACATGCTGCTTCACTCCCCAAGTGGCTGCAACAGCCAGTGCTGAGCCAGGCTGAAGCCAGGAGCCAGGAGCTCCATCCTGGGCTTCCATGTAAGTGGCAGGGGGACAAGCACTGAGGCCATCTTTCGTTGCTTTTCCCAGGCCATTAGCAGGAAGCTGGACTGGAAGTGGAGCAGCCAAGACTTGAACCAGCACCCATATGGGATGCCAGAGTCGCAGGCAGCAACTTCACCTGCTATGCCAAATGCCAACCCCTAAAGTTAAGTTTTAAAATAATGTACAGTAACCAATATAACAACTGATACCATAGTTGTAGAGTTATAAGTTTGGGGGATTTTGTGCCTTGTATTACATCTTCCAAAATAAACAACCATTGCCATGCCCAACCATGCATCCCCTGAGGAATAAAAGGAGGTTAAGATGCACCTTACTCGGCTGGGGCCGCAGCTTACTAGGCTAATCCTCCACTTGCGGCACTGGCACCCCGAGTTCTAGTCCTGGTCGGGGCGCCGGATTCTGTCCCAGTTGCCCCTCTTCAAGTCCAGCTCTCTGCTGTGGACCGGGAAGACAGTGGAGGATGGCCCAGGTGCTTGGATGCCTGCACCCACATGGGAGACCAGGGGGAAGCACCGGTGTAGTGCACTGGCCGTAGCGGCCATTTGCGGGGTAAACTAACGGAAGGAAGACCTTTCTCTCTGTCTCTGTCTCTCTCTCTCACTGTCTAACTCTGCCTGTAAAAAAAAAGATACACCTTTCTATTCCCCAGCATCATGTCACTTACCTCAGCTGCAGGCTGTGCTGTCCAGAGCTATAACCACAACGTATTTAGAAAACCAGTTCAGAGTCAGAGTGTTCATTCCAAGAGTTCAGTAACTCAGCACTATGAGAGTGTCACAAGAAAATGCAGATAGATCCATTTGATGGATCACAGGTGATGAAAACAGGGAATTAGAGGAGCCTGGTACTTGATGGCATGAAAAACTAAATTAATCTGCAGGGTCAACATCATTTAAGTATTTTGAAATTTATCATGAAGCTGAGGGTAAACCCTAAATGATACTAAATTATATTGTAAGGAGAGGGGTATGATGAAATTGATATATTTGAAATAATGCATATGACTTTTTATAATATCCAAAGCTAAAAATCATCTAGAATCCTACTAATTATAAAATGTTGAGTTAAATAGGGGTCAGCACTGTGGCATAGCAGGTAAAGCTGCCACCTCACAGTGCTGGCATCCCATATGGGTACCAGATCTAGTCCTGGCTGCTCCCCTTCTGATCCAGCTCTCTGCTATGGCCTGGGAAAGCAGTAGAGGATGGCCCAAATCCTTAGGCCTCTTTATGCACATGGGAGATCCAGAAGAAGCTCCTGGCTCCTGGCTTCAGATTGGCAAAGCTCCAGCCATAGCAGCCATCTGGGGAGTGAACCAGCAGATGAAGACCTCTCTCTCTCTCTGCCTCTGCCTCTCTGTATTCTGCCTTTTGAATAAATAAATATTTTTTAAAAGGCCTAAATAATACTCAGAATATTCTGTTGGTTGGTTCTGATACAGCAAAAGGAACGAATAAACTATTTTTGGTAGTAATGTGAATGAGTGTCAAACCAGTGTATTATTTGAAAGGCTTAGTGATAGAGGGAGGGAGAGACAGAGACAGAAAGAGATCTTCCATCTTCTGGTTCACTCCCCAAATAGCCTCAATGGCCAGGGCTGGGCCAGACTGAAGACAAGAGCCAGGAATTCCATCTGGATCTCTCATTTGTGTGACAGGGGCCCAAGTACTTGGACCTTTCACCATTTCTTTCTCAGGCACATCAGCAGGGATCAAGATCAGAACCAGAGCAACTTGAACTGGTGCTCTGATATGGGATGCCAGTGTCACAGTTGGCTCAACCCACTGTGCCACAACACCAGCCCCAACATCAAACCATTTTGTGAAGTGCAGCAGACAACAAGAATGATTACATACCATACCATTTCACTTACCTGAAAATCAGAAACAGGCAACAGGACTGTGGTGTTGGGAGTCAGAAAGTGGTTCCTTTTTTAGAAATTCATTGAGATTGCTTTGAATAGTTCAGATAATGTATTACTCAGCTCTTCGTTATTTTAAAATACCTGAGAGGAGCAATGTAGGATGGAAAAAAGTTTATTTTGTTTATATTTTGGGGATTCACAATCCAAGATTCTGTGGTCCTATTTTTTTTTTACAGGCAGAGTGGACAGTGAGAGAGAGAGAGACAGAGAGAAAGGGCTTCCTTTGCCGTTGGTTCACCCTCCAATGGCCGCTGTGGCTGGCACACCGCACTGATCTGAAGGCAGGAGCCAGGTGCTTCTCCTGGTCTCCCATGGGGTGCAGGGCCCAAGCACTTGGGCCATCCTCCACTGCACTCCCGGGCCACAGCAGAGAGCTGGCCTGGAAGAGGGGCAACCGGGACAGAATCCAGTGCCCCAACCGGGACTAGAACCCGTTGTGCTGGCGCTGCAAGGCGGAGGATTAGCCTAGTGAGCCACGACGCTGGCCTCGGTGGTTCTATTTTTTAAAAGGTTTTACTTATTTATTTGAGAGGTAGAGTTACAGAGAGAAGGAATAAAATCCTCCATCTGGTGGTCCGCTCCCTAGATGGCCACAATGGCCAAGGCTGGGCCAGACTAAAGCCAGGAACAAGAGCTTCCTGCAGAGCGTCTGACAGAGGCCAGCAGTAGTGGAGCAGGCACAGAGGAACAAACCTGTGGTGACCCAGGAAGCAGAGAGAGAAACTGGGCCAAACATGTCTTAAGTAACCAACCTTCACGTGAGAACTACCTTGAAAGATCAAACCCCCTCTGACTTAAAGGTCAGGTCCACCTCTTGGATGCCATAATTAGATCAAGACTCCACCATATCCCATCGACCATAATTCATTAACTGTTAACATAAGATTTTGAGGGCTTAAAGCTATGTATGAACTTGGGGAGCCAAATCCTATTTAATCCATAACAGGTAAGATTGCCATTTTTAAAAATATTGAATTCTCTGATCTAATAATAGGATGGTGTTCTCACTAAATTTAGGACATCTTTAGTTTTTCGTGTAATATTTCCCAGTTTCTAAGAAAAGTCATGCATTGTTTTCATGAAATTTATTCCTATTTAACTAGTTGGTGAGGCTATAAGTTTAATGTTGTTTTAATTTCTGACTAGTCAGCCGGCGCCGCGGCTCACTAGGCTAATCCTCCGCCTTGCGGCGCCAGCACACCGGGTTCTAGTCCCGGTTGGGGCGCCGGATTCTGTCCCGGTTGCCCCTCTTCCAGGACAGCTCTCTGCTGTGGCCCAGGAGTACAGTGGAGGATGGCCCAAGTGCTTGGGCCCTGCACCCCATGGGAGACCAGGAGAAGCACCTGGCTGCTGGCGTCGGATCAGCGCGGTGCGCCGGCCGCAGCGTGCAGGCCGCAGTGGTCACTGGGGGGTGAACCAATAGAAAAGGAAGACCTTTCTCTCTGTCTCTCTCTCTCTCACTGTCCACTCTGCCTGTCAAAAAATAAAAAAATAAAAAATAAAATAAATAAAAAAATAATTTCTGACTAGTCATTACTACTACATACAAACACAATTAATTTAAATATATTAAACTTCCATTCTGCCACCTCAGTAAATTCACTTATTAGCTCTAGTCATGCTATTGTGGATTCCTTAAAGCATCCTACATAATCATACTGTCTTCATGTAGTTCTGCTTGTTATTTTCTGACTTTTGTCTTTTTTTTTTTTTTTTTTTGGACAGGCAGAGTGGACAATGAGAGAGAGAGAGACAGAGAGAAAGGTCTTCCTTTTCCATTGGTTCACCCCCCAGTGACCACTGCGGCCTGCACGCTGCGGCCGGCGCACCGCGCTGATCCGAAGCCAGGAGCCAGGTGCTTCTCCTGGTCTCCCATGCAGGTGCAGGGCCCAAGGACCTGGGCCATCCTCCACTGCACTCCCTGGCCACAGCAGAGAGCTGGACAGGAAGAGGAGCAACCGGGACAGAATCCAGCACCCCGACCGGGA